CAGTTCCACACGGGACACCCTGGTACCAACCGCATGAAAGCCTTGGCATGCAGCTTTGTTTACTGGCCAGAAATGGATTCGGAAATTGAAAAATTTTGCCAACAGTGTGAATCATGTCAATTTGCAGCGAAGGCCCCTCCCAAGTGTCAGTGGCAACTTTGGTCTAAAGCAGAGAAACCGTGGCAACGAATACACTTAAACTGTACAGGACCAATTAATGGCCAATCCTATCTCGTTTTGGTCGGCTCACTCATCAAGTGGCCTGATGTGATTCCGGTAAACAATCCGACTGCCCAGCACACTGTAAACGAGCTGGAGAAGCTGTTTCGACATTTCGGCTTGCCAGACATGTTAGTGACAGACAATGGAACACAATTCACCTCAACTTCTTTCCGCGAGTGGTGCAAGGAAAAGGGAATTCAGCAGATGTTTTCACCACCCTATCCGCAATCAAACGGACAGGCGGAAAGGTTCTTGGATACGTTCCAACGTGCACGCTGTAAAGCAGGTATATGTATGTAATCTCAACAGTCTAGTAGCTAGACATAGAGCCAACAAAGCCATGGAAATCAGTGGATAGGAGGCAGTCATTGCGTCATAATCATCGGGGCATGCTAGTTGAAGGTGGGCAACACACTTCAGCTAATATGCCGCAAGAAGAATGGAACATTTTGACAAAAAATAGAACAAAACATTTTTAGTTTGTTTGTCACACGCCGATTTTTCTCTTTTTTTGTCATTTTCAACGTTGGTAGTATTAAACATGTGAATCAATACCACACTGTACACAATTCTTCCACTGCTTCCGGTTGCGGGCCGTGTCTTCAAGAGTCCTAAACCATTGGCACTCCTCATCTTTGGGTCCCCATCCTGGAAGACGTACGGATCACACAGTGGCTAGACACGACGTCAGCGATTTCATGTGCTGCCGCCAAGTGAAAGGCTGACCACTACGCGGTCGCTTCCAGCCAGGTCCTTGACGGGCGAATAGAGCGCGACGCGGTAGACGCTCAGGTGCCATGCGTAGGACATGACCGAGCCATCTTAACTGGCGCAACAAAACCAGTTTGTTGAAGGATATACTTGCATTCCCCAAGATGCGACGTTGAACCTTATTACTATTAACTCGATGTTGCCACCAAACACCAGCGATCCTCCTTAAGTAACCGTTATCGAATGCAGAAAGACGACGCATGTCTTCCACGCGAATCGGCCAGGACTCGCACCCATACAATAATACTGAGCGAACTGATGCGTTGTAAATGCGGCCCTTTAGTGAGAATGAGACGTTACGACGACGCCACAAGTGCCTCAGATTGACAAATGCTGATCGAGCTTTAGCGATGCGAAGCGAAACTTCTTTGTTGATAGTGCCGTCAGCGGAAACACAGCTCCCAAGGTAGACGAAACTATCTACCTGTTCAAGTTGTGCACCTTGGAGGGTGAGCACGGGAGCAGGTGAAAGCCAATCCTTGAGCAGTACTTTACACTTCGATGGGGCGAAGCTCATGCCATACTTAGATGCTTCAACTGCCAAAGGATCCAGAATGAGTTGCATACCCTGAGGATCGTCACCAAGTAAGGCGATATCATCAGCAGGGCAAAGAAAGACTTCACAGGATGCCATTTGATCTTTCCTATGCATGTATCGAAACGCTCCGAACCCAAACGCCCCTGATGGGAAAGCCCCCACAGAAGTACTATTTGGAAGAAAGATACGGAGAATAGAAAAGTACGGCAGTAGTCACCTGGAGGAAGATCGCAAAGTCAGGCTCCGTAACTTCAATGTTGATGATATGCTTTACGCCCGGAATTTTCGAAGGCCGAGGGGATAGTCGTGCGGAACTGTTAACCGCAGGAAAGGCAGAGTTATCTACGAGGTGATGGTTGGACGTAAAAGGTGGATTAGGCACATCAACCAGTTGAGACCGAACCATGGCAAAACCCAAGTTCCCCACAAACCACCAGCTTTGCCTTAGGACATTCTACTAGACACGTTCGGGCTGGAAGTTGAGGGTCAGAAACGCGGTGAGACAAAACAAATGCCGCAAACCTCCGATGCACAATGCAGGCCGGTTAGGAAGCGGAGAAGTCCACAGTGGCTGCACATCGATCCCCGGACGAAAAGCTACGAACACAATGAAGTTCGAAGGGTTTACATGCTGACTCAATTAGGAAAGAGCGGTGACAGCTGGGCAGAAAGCTGATTTCCAAAGCGCGCGTGTTCGCCACAAATCGTGCTTTGGACAGCCCCTGCGAGTGTTACCAGGACCCAGCCCAAAGCTGATGAAATCGCGCAACAGACGGTATGCGTGTTTCCAAGGTCTGACCAGAAGCTGATGAAATCGTTGCCACGCCCCGGGAAGGCGGATAAAACCTGGCGTGCCTGAGCAAGACGGTGAACTGGCCAGACTGTGCGGACAATCAAGTGTGGAGCATGGGCGTACAGCCCAATCCGCCAGACGATGTTTAGAGGATTGGTGAGACCGACATATAAATATGAGCGTTCTCGGTCCTAATACAACTCTGGTCGGCTGCGTCTTCTTCTGTCTTCCTTCCTACCCAGACGTCAAGTAGAGCAGGCGTAAGGACGCAGATTTACCAGCAGGCGTGAATCAACCTGTCGATTGCGGGGTACAGCGTTATAACAGTGGTTTCGGAATCTGGTCTGCTGGTATGTGTGGTTGTACAACGGGAAGTATGTAGATCAATGGAGCTTGACACGAAAAGGTAAGTCGTCCGGACAGAGCGAACTAGACATGGAAGGTTGAAGTCCCCCGTGATAAGGTGTATGTTTGTGGGACAGAGCAAGGTGGACGTCGTGCAATAGTTGTGCGTCGTTTCAGATAAATGGTTAGGGGGGGATAGATAATACCAATACATCGGGTGTGTTTGTCGGTTTGTATGACCTCGCTCAACATGGTATCGGAAGACTGCAAAGCAGTGTGTGCCACCATAGTGCCATTGAGGTAGGTGTTGTATTACAATGCGACAGCACCACCTGAGGTTGCGCGGTCGCAGCGGAGGACCGATAGTTGAGGAAGTTGAATTACACCGTCGGTGGTTTCGCCGGAGAGCCATGTTTTCGGTATGGTTATAAGGTCCACTGGCATTGACAAAAGTCGGGACTGGAGTTCCGGAACTATGGATAGGAGGCTCTGTGCGTTCGTGTAAATGCAGGCGTGGCATGTCTGGGCGATGCGTGTGGAAGCATTTTCGGTGCTGCCGCCCAACAGATGATCTACAGTACACCGTTTATTTTTATTTGAAGAGATGAAGCCGTGAAGGTGACTGAAAGTTAAGGATTCAAGGTGTGAGTCATTGGAGCAAAGATGGGTTGCGACATGTGGTTCGTTGCAGCGCCGCTGATTGGAGTTTGTAGGGGAGTATTTGCCCTCAGACGGTGGGGCATTTGTTTCGGTGATGGGCCATCTAGAGGCGGTTAAGTCTATGTGTCAAAGGTACCGATGGGGTTGCTGCTGGTGTGTGGCAGGCTGTTCGCCTCGGCACCGGGTGGCTCTCAGGACGCAGACGAACATCTGATGATGCTCCTCTTTCATTGGCATATCACGTTGTGAGGGTTCCGGTTGTCACGCTAGCGGTGAGGAATGTCACCTTCAGGAGACGGTGGGCAGGTGACGAACGTCCTTCGTGCTTACCTTGACAATGGTTAGTGCCTTCTGAAGAAACCGCCATTGATTGCACTCGTGCTGCGGTTGCTGTTGGAAGGTTGTTTCAGTGATACACTGTTCTGGAACGCCATGCACTTTGCTAGATCAGGGTCGGGAATAGCGCTAGCTGTTGCCTGCGCGCGCTGCACTCAGTCCATGGGGTGTCGGGTAAGATACAGATGCGGTAGGTGCCAAGGCACGCGTTGTTTTTGTGTAGGTGTGCTGACAACAGAGAATCATCCATGGTCGGATCTGGCTGTAAGTCGACACGTAGAAGTCTTGGCTTACCGATGCTCCGAGGTGAAGGGTGGCAGGTCAGTCTTTTGCTGTTGGTGGGTTTCATCCCGGCGCATCACAGATCGAGCTCCACATGTTAGAGTCATGAGAATGTTGATTCCGAAGTTGCAAGTCTCTAGACTTTGGAACGCCTGTGCCTATAAGATAGTTAGAGGTGGAGTTACGTGTTGCCGGTTTATTCGGACGCGAACGTGGGGTGGCAGTAGGCGCACCAAGTGTTCGGGTCACCGCTGGAAGCGTTGGGCGTCGACGATTGCTGAACAGATCGGCGATCTGTAACGACGAGACGGCAGCTGAGTTAGGTTGGCATGGAGTCTGCTGTCGTCGTGTAGTTAGGCTATCGATTTTCAGCAGTAGGCTCCGCAGCTATTCTTCCATATTGAGCAAACCTACATCTGTGCTGGCAGTGTTTTCAAGCGGCTCGATGACTCATGGTGACCGGAGCGACTTCGTAAGCGACTGGTTGTTATGCGGTGTGATGGACGGGTTTGCAGGGGACGAGATAAGCGAGCATATGGCATATCTTGAAGTAGCGGTCACTGGGGATATCTCGACCGGAAGTCGAAATAATGAGGAGACAAACCAAGCAGTTATATCGCAGTGCCGTTTGTGGATGCGATCAATTGACTTCGATGTCTGTTTAGGCGGATCGAAGTGTCACAGGAAGCATGAACATGGTGCACACACATAAAGCACGTGATAGCTTTGGGATGAGGCCTTACACGCCAACTGCAATTCGAACAAGTGTTAAGCGGCCGCTTGGGTGTATTTGGCGAAACCGATTAGATCTATATGATCAAACGAATGAGAAAAAGTCAGCAAATAAACCTAAATAGAATCCTACCAACTAATATAGCATAAACCAGCGCATCGGATATTTTTGTGTTTCTTGTTTTCTGCACAGTATTCTTGAAATACTATTCCCACGCAGAGCTTTTAAAAGAAAAACTCGTGCGGCGAAGCACTCCGGGCACGCCGTGACCTTGGCGTTTTTCCCTACTTTGATCTGTTGCTTTTCTTCCCTGACTCCAGAAACCCCAACCTGTACCTGTGGCGTTGCACACCTTCGAGACAAAGAGGCGAAATCAGTTGAAACTTCGGATGCATCAGTGAGCGTCGTCGCTCCGATTAAACTGCGTGATGCCTCTGTGAGTGCAACTCCGCCCGATGATCAACAACCGCGAGAAAAGCTATTGTTTGGTGAGTTTGGCCGTTGCCGCACTCCACATTTGGTTGCATCGAGTCTCATGCATCGCTGAACGTACGCAGGTTTAGCCCTTACCCTGGCCTAAAGAAGCTCTTACTTCGTGAACGAAACGTTACGGTAATGCATTCTTGTACAAACCTTTATGCATTCAAGATCTTACAAACTTCTGCCTTCTTCCTATCCTTTCACACCTCACTGTCGTCGTCTCCCTAATCTTGGAGCTGTCCTGGACTTCATTCATGCCCACTCTCAACATCTAACTACCATCCTTGACAGTTTGCAGCAGTAATCTGCTCGGTATGAGCTTCTTGTGCTTCTTTAACTGAACAGCACTGGTTTCTGTACACCGAATAAGTGTGAAATACCCGTGAATAGTACTGGGGTGATAAAGCCAAGTAAAGGACTATGGAATTGTTTAACACAAGGAGCGACACTTTTATGTAAAGGATGCATGTATGGATATCGTCAAGAGGACTGCATCTCGGTTTATCAAAAAGCATTCAATATTGCAGCTCGGTATCCGAAAGCCAGTATAAAGGTCCGCACTCCCCAGTTGTTAACACGTTCTTGTCTATCTCCCGTGAGCTCCTGTTCAACAGGGCACACTAAGTTAAGCCTTCAGCAAGCGAGTGAAAAAATCGATTAAACCGGCGCAGGTTGTACAAGGTTATCAATCATCAGAAGGAATTACCAAAGTACCTTAACAACCATTAGCTGGATATCCTCATTACTCCTAGACCAGTACTTGTCATATACTACTCGTAAGTAGCAGGATTTTAGTTGTACTTTTGAGGTATTCATCCCAGTAGTTCACAAGCTACATAGTACAGCCTAGTCCGGAAAAGCACCAGACGCCTTTCACCCTATTGGGGCTCGTCATTGGTTCGCATTCCCTCGGTCTTCTACTAGGGATCGCACGCATATCTCAGTGGCTTAAACTGTTGGTCAGTTGGCCGCTGCCTTTAGCAGTCATGGGTCCGATCCTCATTAGGGACTGGGAGAATGCACACCACTGACGAGCCCAAGTAGGGCGAAATGCGTCTGGTGCTTTTCCGGACTAGTCTGTGCTATTCAACTTGTGAACTACTGGAATGAATACCTCAAGGTTACAACTAAAATCCTGCACCTTACGAGTAACCTAAAATAAATAGTCTCTCCTAGTTTCAAATGCTGTGGATATAGCGTCTACCGAGAGGATGTCATCACCTCGCAGGCTAGCCACTGTCAGTGACAGTGGCAGATAGGTGGTGCTATATCCCAATTAGCGAGCAAATTATGTGGCTCGGCCAACCTCCTGTATGGCTCAGTGGCTTAAGCTGCTGGCTAGTTGGCATCTGCCTTTAGTGGTCATAGGTTCGACTCCCCTTAGGGACCGAGGGAACGCGCACCACTGACGAGCCCCAGTGGGGCGGAAGGCGTCTCGTGCTTTTCTTGACTAGACTATGCTATGTAGCTTGTGAACTACTGGGATGAATACCTCGAAATCGTCATGGATATTCAAGCTTCCGTTCCTAAGGGTAGTCCATTTAAAGCGATTTTCTTGCACCTATTGGCCATCTTCGATTCGCTCTGAAATCACTGATTGTATCACAGCATTTCCTACCGTATCATTTGTTAATAAACTGCGACTGACTGTGCCTTTGATAGTTCAAGTCAAAACGAAAATGCTTATTCTTGCTCGGCGATTCACAGCTAGATTGGCTATCCGATGCTTTTATGAACCTGTGTGGTGTCGGCATGGTCACGCAGCCATGCCTTGAATTTCGGGGACGCAAGCTCCAGTCGGTAGCGCTGTCCTACTGCTCAAAGCATACAGGAGCACTATCTCGTTTATTTATCTACGTAGGCCAATCAGTCGGCTTCCTTGTGCAGACAACCGATCATTTTGGTAAACGTGGCCGATGCCACGCACACAAACAACAAGCCGATAAATTGCTACTGACCCAAGCTGATTATGCTCGTACTAGCCGAAAAGAAGGCGAAATTGGTTCAGTATATAAACTGAACAAACGGCAGCTTGCTTGCAGAAATGTGGAATGGGATTTGCCCGTTCACCAACGAATCTAGATTAACGAATGACACCAGATGCAACGCAGACCGGTCCATGGAACTCACAGAGGCCACGCGTAGTCAATGGACAGAAAGCGAATCGAGAGCCACCCTTGCGACCTGACTGTAATCGCACGAAGTGGACGGTCAGCGAAGAATAACTGCTGGCTAACTTGGGACAATTTCAACACAGCCCTATGGTCATGGTAGGAATGGGTTGAACGAAGCGGATTGAATGCATAACACATGAGGGACGATGAAAGTAGACAACGGAAAATGAGAAATGATCAGTGTGACATGCTGCCTGATGGAATGGAGCCCCAAACATGTATGCAATTTAGGTGAATCTACGATTGACCAACAACAGCTTTTAATTGCTGCTCTAGCTTTGTTTGACCGCTAATGAGTGTGAGGGCTTTGGGTACAATTTGCCGTTTCGTTCCAGCTGCTCACAAGTCAGGTAGTTTCACCCACAACCAGGAAACACACCAGACGTTAAGTTTGCCCTATTTGGGCTGCTTAGTGGCAACTTGTACCAACTGGCCAGCAGCTTATGCTACAGAACCATAGGGGACGGAGGCAAGCCGTAATAACTGTTGCAGGGCTACAAAGCACTGAGCAATCGTATTTACAAGCTGTTTTTTATGTTTTTCAAATGTGACTAATTTTTGATCAGTCACTTCCGTAGTCTACAACTAAGACGCAAGGTACAGAACACGATGTGCGCTCCTGAGCTCCATTAGTCTTGGAGCGGACATCGTTTTAGTTAGTGAGATGTTTTAGTCGTTTTGATCTTAATTGAGTTTTGTAGAGCCAGTAGATTTCGCTGACACGTCTAAAAACTCGTATTTGAATTCTATCTTAGCATAGCATTCCTTCTTTCCCAGTAGTGCCAACATCTAGAAAAGTTCTACTCTCTCCTGTTCGCATTCTTAGGCATTTCAGATCTGTTCGTATGTAACCGAATGATGCAATCTTTAATTTTCGGGTTTTGGAGTACCCGCAATATGTTTTTGATTGTGACACGCAGTCTCAATTGTGGCTACGGTTGACTTCGATGTCATGCTCCGCCATTTTGATCACTAGGAGACCGTATCCGAATTGGAGGATTTCGGTGTTTTATCCCATCCCTGCACTCCACGACCGACGGCTTCGTCCTTGTTTGGACCCCTCAAGTAGATATAGCCCGAGCTGGGCAAATAGTGGTTGGCAGTTTTCGCCATGATCACTATTGAGAATGAGAATGTATATTTCTCAACTGCGCGTGTTACAATCCAACTACGTATACTGATCATATGGTGCAACATGAACACAAAGTGCTCCTGCTTTTTTCAACTTTTTCATAAGAGTTCCAAATCGGATTTATGGTGACTCGACTCGGTAGAAATGATAAAAAGTAGGAGAGTTTAAACGCAGGATGAAAGTGGTTATTGAAGCAAGCACAATAGAATTAATACGGCTATCTGTGGAACCAACTCCTTGGGATCTGCTTCCATGCAGGATATTCCCTCGAAAGATTTCATCCGCACCTCCACGCCTCCTTTGGCTTCCTGTCGGTGTGGCATAACAGAAAGCGAGTTGTCACCATATTATCTCATTTTTATGGCCGTTCTTATCTATACTGAGTAATAGGCTCGCAAAGATAAGTGATGTCTCATGTTTTTCGTTTTTTACTATCTATTAGACCATTCAGCCCATTTCGGCTTCTGACTCCAACCAAGTCTGACACCTTTTCCACTCTAGAAGTGTGTGTGCCAATTTACCTTGAGTAGGCATATTTTTTCTCACCAATAAGTCTGCCACAATTCACCACACGTGGGTGTATTAAATAGTCCGGAAGCCTCATCCAATCACCACAGGAGATTGGCCCATTCGTAATACATATAATGACAAATAACTGGTATGCATCCGGCAAGTTCTAATTTAGATTGTACGTAAAGGATACATAGAAAACATAAAAATAAGGAAATAACGGCTCTATGGACCATTTTGTGATATATCCAGCGGCTCCAGACACTCGAGTAATAGACTAATTGTTGTGGAAATTGGACTTCACAGAGCATCAAAAATTGCCACAGGTACAATGGGACAATGGTTTTATACGGGTAAAAAAGCTAATGCTTAACGGGTCCCGTAGGATGGTTATAGTGAAACTACAAAATATAAAATAATTGTTGGCAAAATTGGATTTACACCAATGAACTCACTGAAGTATACGTATTGTAGACTGTAAATCCAACATAAATCCGTAAGAAATGACGGCAAATGGCATGTTTGTAAAATTCGTGTCTTCTCCTGATGTTCACACAGAGGAGGTGAAAAACGTAGAAAGAAATCTGTGCTGTGACTGCCATCGAAATCACTTACAGACTCTTGTGTTTGTCCATGGATAATGGGTCATGTAAGTTGTTGCAGCGAAATTAGTGCACGGTCAACTCAGGCTTTGAACTCTACCAGCGTGGGAGCACATATGACACATCCCGGTAGGGTATTCCACGGTACGGAAAATACTTCCGACGGCATTCCAAGCGGCTGTGTTGCTCTGCCAGTTTGAGACGGTGGCCTCTCAAATTGCTGTTGTGACTGAGCTGTAGTAAGATGTGGCACGGGTGGTTTGGATCTCTCAAAATTTGATAAGACACAATGAGGTTTCCGTGCAATCGCCGATACCGTCCGCTGAAGACCCCGAGCACTTGAAGCGTATGTTCATACAGCAAAATATACAGACCCTTGACATTTTTTTGTTGCAGGGCGTTGGGGTATCTCCAAGTCGGTAAGACCTCTCCTCAGTCATGGCTGCCAGACCTGTATTGCATATTCCACATGTGGCCATATGTATGAGCCGAGAAGTTGTGGAAAAATCGAAGGGTCGAATCGTCCAAATACACTATTCAGGAGGCCTACATGTTGGATGCCCCTCCTAGACGCCGTTTCAGCCTACTTC